TACTCTCTTTATCTATCTTCTGATGTGTAGTAGTAGTAGATCTATACCCTCTTTATCTATCTTCTGATGTGTAGTTGTAGTAGATCTATACTCTCTTTATCTATCTTCTGATGTGTAGTAGTAGTAGATCTATACCCTCTTTATCTATCTTCTGATGTGTAGTTGTAGTAGATCTATACTCTCTTTATCTATCTTCTGATGTGTAGTAGTAGTAGATCTATACTCTCTTTATCTACTCCTCTTCTAGATGTTTTCTTGGAGATGTTGCTAGATCTATATGCTTTTGAGGTGTTGATCATTTTGAAAATGGCATTGAAGTTGTTTTGTTAGTTTTGTCAATTGTGACAGCGGAGGCAATTGAGTGGGTGGTTAGCGGGTGCTCTGGTTTGGTTTGCTCCTTCTTTCCTATCAAACATCTATCGTCCTGATCTCTCCTCCTTCTTTCCTACCAAACATCTATCGTCCTGATCTCTCCTCCTTCTTTTTTGTGTTTATTGCTCTCTTTTAACACCTCCAATCTTGGACACTTATATGACCTTATCGTGCTGAAAGTGCACTAAAATTTTTACTAAAACTAAAGGAGATAATTGTAGCCGAGAATGATCTGAGTGTTCCCCCTTTGTCTCCTTCCCCAGCTGCTCAAAGGCAGGCACTTGATGGTTCGGGTGGGCGGCGGCTGGGACACCTTTGAGAACTACCTGCTTCACCACGACCCCGTCCAGGTGTTTGAGTTCCACAACACGGGCGGCCCGCATGGACCCACAGCCCACAGTTACGCCGTCAACAAATCAGACTTTGGGCCTGGTTCTTTTAATGGTTACTTGGTGATTCGCTCAAAGTATAAGTCGAAAAACTTTGTATCTTAACTGTCTCGTTGACTGCGGGGATGACATGACGTCGATGGTCTTTGTAGCAAACAGGTCAACTCCAGAGAATGTCCTTGAACTTTGAACTTTGAACAGGAAATGCCATTTTTTGTCTGGTTTTTCCTCCCTTCTTCAGCTGTTTAAGGAAATTGAGAGCAATTTCAACTTTCAGTCAAACCTCGAAATACTCCCCCTCCCCTCCCCCCATTATACCGAGCATCTGCGTTTGTTGCCATTTTAATGTCCAAAAGTTGCCACAGAAATGGCAAAAGTTGCCATAAAAGTTGCCAATAATTTTCAAGCTTTCAACTCTCTGTGACGACAAATATAACAATAAGTTGACAGAGGTAACTTCATCTAAAGCACCAGAATTTCTTGTGTTCTGTTTCAAGCATCCAGAATATCATTTGCAGCCACACAGAGTGTAAAAACGTGAAAAATAAAAATTTCACAACAGAATGAAATCAAAATTAGAAAAGAACATAAACAACCACAAAAATCAACAAATAAGGGCGGGTGTCCACCTTTTCGAATAGCGGCCGTTTTAACCCAAAACGTGTGTTATTCAAGAAAAAGTGCAGGATATTACATGTAAGTAGTATGTATGTAGTATAGGGTTTTATGGCGCTCGCAACTGCTACGGTTATATGATCAGTATTACATGTAAATGATGGAATCACACACAAGGGGCCTGCCAGTGTCAGTACATGTAGGGGTTTGGTGGAGACACCCTCTCACATACCGTATTTTTTTTAAGGTAGGAACAACATCAAATTAAATGATATTGACATTATGATAAAAGGTAACCATGGAAAACACATCAGAACAATAACAAGAACAGAAAATAACACAGCAGCAAATTAAAACTCAACAAAGAGAGAAAAAGAAAAGAGAAACAGCAATATATGTAGTATGTAATTATTGTAATGTACAAGACTTTTTCCACATGAAAATAACCAAAAAACGTGAGGTCAACAAGTAAGAAAGAAGAGAAGTGAAGTGGAAGTGTAAATAAACTTTCTTTCTAAAAGTAAAGAGGTTCGGGGTTTTTTCGTTTTTTATACTCCTTTTTTTTCGACTTTTTCTTCCCCGGCTGTGTGGTTTTTGGAAAAATGAAAAAATGGCGGCCGCGATTCGCGGACCAAAAAATGCAAAAAATGGCGGCCGCGACAAACGCAGATGCTAGATATACCACTAACCCAGCTTATCGCCAGGTTTTGCCAGTGTACGAAAAGGAACGTTGAGATGTAACCCTAGTTGTTACACCTTTACACCACCATCGGCTATCCCCAACTAGGGCCTACCTAAGTTGTACAATCCTTAGTAAACTAATGTAAATTTGCCCAAACATACTGCCAGTGAACTGTCCACACACTACAGCGCACAATCTTTCCCACATTCGTCTTTGCAAGTTCCGCCTGCTTCTATTTTTTTTCGCTGATGCTCCTGAGTTGCGCTAATTATGAGAATGCTATTATTTTTAGAGTTTGACCAATGTTTGAAAATACAGTGGAGTCCACTTATAACGAGTCCTGAAGTAACCAGAAGTCTGTTATAAAGACACTATTCTAAAACCCCGTTTTTTTCTCTTCTTTACCTTTGTAAATAAAATACTGCTATAGCGCTATCAAACAAACATGCGAGTCGGTTATAGCGGAATATTGCTGCTGCTGTGCACAGTGCATAGGCCAATTATACAAAACGTAAAACCTTGCCAGTTGAGAAACTTGTTGGTGATCTAGCAAAACAAAGAATAGGAGAGCCCATGTGTGTCAACGATGAAGGCCGGAGCCACTGAGTAGGGAGGGTGTGGCATGCGCAGACAAGCAGAACGCATCGTGTGATATGCCAGCGTAAGCCTAGTTTAGATTATCAAGGCCTACCATGCCTCTCACTTCTCCGATGCGGGGATGGAGAGGTCACAGCAATGTGATGGATGGAGCGAATGAGTGACGTGTGCGAGCAGACGGAATGCACCACAGGGTGGG